AAAGGTTTGTAAAAGCAGAAAGTCTTTTTTGGGTACAAAATCGGTAAATTTGCAGCTTGCCGTAGGCTGGAAACGGGACATTTCTGTCATTTGGAATGCACTAATCCCCCAAAAAAAAATTTTAAACCGCCACCGCGTGTAAATGGTTTTAATTTTAAAATTTTTTAAAAAAAAAACGACAATATGGTTGTGAAGCAGAAACCCAGTTTATTGACACAATGGGAAAATTTCCCAGCTTGCCCTTTGGGCTGGAAACTGTACTTTTGGTGTCACTGAAGGAAACTAATCCCCCCAAAAAAAAATTACCCCAGGGGCCCGTGAAAAAGGGGATTTAAAACTTTTTGGGAAGGGTACAATAGGGGTTTTGTGAACCCAGAAAGTAAATTTATTTTGCACAATGGGAAAACGGGAAAAGCACCAACTGTGCACGACAGCCCCCAAAAAAAAAAAAGGGGTGTATGTCATTTTAAAATTTTCGTTTCCCTTTGATAGTTTTGGGGGCCCTAAGAAAACTTTTCTGTTTCCCGAGTAACGTTTCCCTTTTGGCCCTGAGAAAACAAATTCTGTGGCCCTCAAGTCTCTTTTGGCCGCCACCATTTTTGGGAAAATTCGATTCGTTTGCATCCGAAGTTTGCTAATCTTCGGATTCGTCGCGAATAGAATTTTTCCAAATCTTCGGAACGAATTCCACTTCGTCATGTTCGATTCGCTCATCTCTAATTAGCGACTTGGTTTCACTTGCCATTTCAAATTGCTCTTTAGTAGTGGTATACAGTAAACATATTTAACATTTTCCTAGTATGAAGCATGTACATCAATTACATGTGTACCAGTTATATTATGTTATCTTCTGTTGCAGGCGGAAATGCTGGTGAGTGTGGAGACCCCGGAGTACCATCGCATGGGATTCGGCAAGGAGATGACTTTACTATCGATGGTGTTGTGAGGTTCAGTTGTGAGGCTGGGTATGTTCTGCGAGGGTCTGCAGAGAGGAAGTGTCTAATGAATGGATCCTGGAGTGGATTTCAGCCAGAGTGTGAAGGTATGATTCCTGAACCAATGTATGTAGAATTAACATTAATTTTTACTGTTAATCTAGGAAGATAAAGTTTCTTTATTCTTGTTAAGTGAGCTTAAGTGATAGATTGTATGTTTCACAGTGTTCATTCACCTCCTTTTTCAAATCTGCACAACAGCGTATACAGTACTTATGTATGAAGCTGATGGTGAATCTAGGCACCTTGGCTGGCCTTTATCAGCTGCTGGTCCTTGTGCTTTTGCCATATTTATAATGTGGAGAATTCATTGTCGATAAATGTTTTACCTAGTGAGTTCTCCCAAATCTGTAACGATCACAAAGAACCTGTTTCAGTGAATGAGCAGTGACTATACCATAAATGGATGCCACTTTTGTGGACGTTGTGCTGTCCACAGTGCTGAACCTGTGTTTTTACACAACTCCAATAATACTGACAGTAAACATGATTTGCCTTTCTTTATATTGTATAGTATAACATATTTTCACCATAGTAAAGAACACACATTCCAAGTCAGTATTCAAGGGACCAAACCAACAAGAAATTGAAGCAAATGTGATACACATGCAGCAAGGAATTACACAGAGTTTAATTCATAAAGTAAATTGAACGCATTTGCTATAAAATCCTTGCTTGTATGCAAAATGGCAAATTAAAACTTAATGGCAAATTAAAGTACTAAAATCATGGTCCCACTCCTGACACATTTCTTGCTTGATCACTCACTAAAGTAATTTAAAATTTCACTTCATCTATTACTATACAAAGTATTCCAACATCACACATAATTGCATTCATTAAGATAGATAGATAGATAGATATAGATAGATAGATAGATAGATAGATAGATAGATAGATAGACATCTATGCACAGTTTTTTAAAGTGGCGCTAAACATTATCCTTATTCTCTTAGAATCTATACATATCAACACTTGATGCCCTGTAATCTATTTTAAGTGGAAGTATGGTCAGATACTAAGTCTAAAACCTACTCCCACCCTCATTTTAAGCCTGTTCTAACTACCCTGTAACGAAAAGAACTCTATACTTTCCTATGCTGAGGGCAATCTGGTCTGATCACATGATCTCTTCAGCATCTGGCTTCAGTGTAGAGGGGAGAGCAGCAACAACAGCTGCAGAGCCTAGGCCATGATTTATCACTCATTGACTTACTATGGGGCATCCATTGTTGGCTGTCCCTCCTCTACACTGAAGCCATCACAGAAAGTTGATCATGTGAGCAGACCAGAGTGGCCTCAAAATAGATAAGTATACAGATCTTTCCTTTCACAGAGTAGACAGAATAGGCTAATAATAGGGATGGTAGTAGATTTGGCCATAGTTAATATTTGACTGCAATTCCACTTTAACTTGTTTCTCACTGTGTTTTTTTGCCTCCTTGTAACATGTGAACTCCCATTTTTTTTATTTTTCAACCCTCCCTTCTGGAGCGAGCAGTGCACGTTAATTGTGGTCATGTACACTACTCAATGCACACTACAAATTCCATAGTTCATAGTCTGTACTCTCTAGTCCATCTAAGATTAGGCAAAAAAGGGTGGCTATGTTCCTACATGCAGTGGTAACATGGAGAATGAACATATCTACCCTCTAAAAGAGAATGAGATCACAGCAGGAATTTGGAAATTTGGAAGAAAACCGATAGAACGTACCTTTTTGCAGTAAGAATGCATATAAAATTCTTTGTTTTAAACCAGAATTTAGTATAATTTTAGGGTTTTTAAGAGGTATGGCTTGCACATCAGGTGACTTCCTTGCCATTTTCCTCTAGGGGAAAATTTTACAGGATTACATCATCAATCAAGGAACTTGGTAGTGTCTATCTTATCCAAGGTGCATACATTAGCAGATGGTAAAAATAACAGATCTAAGCAGCTCATACAAATTGCAATTACTAAGAATAGCTTAGCGTGTAATAAAAAGTGTCCTCCTCTTGATTAATTTTGCTGTAAGAAGTCAGTAAGCGAGGATTGGGGGGGGGGGGGGGTGTCAACACAGCTTGTGCTTATCACTGCACCGTAAATGGGATAGTCTCTCTGCCTTTTTCTCTGTCAATGTCACTTTGCAGCAGTGGGAGTGGCTTCCACACCCCATTTGCTTTAGTTCTGTGCCTGCGGGTGCTTTATAATTAAAAACAAAACTGTTCTCTTCTTTGACATTCCCTCCCTCCTCAGTTTCCAATCATTTTCATCATTGGCGCATTAGAGATATTTTATCTTGGTGTTTCTCACATTAGAAAAGCAAGATTTAAATCCATCAAGAAAGTAAAATGTCTTTTGTTTCTGGAACAAAATGCAAATTATTGTTCAATTAGTCTTCTAGAAAGTAAACGATTAGTTTGTGCAGTTAGGGAAAAAGGGCAATGCATTCAATATTTGTTGCTTGATTACTAAGTATTCACTTGCAATTATTTTGGCAGTGATCTCTTGTGGAAATCCTGGCACCCCTAGCAACTCACGAGTGATCTTCAATGACGGCCTGGTATTTTCTAGCTCCATAGTTTATGAATGCCGTGAAGGCTACTACTTCAGCGGACCCCTGCGTCGGGACTGCACCGTCAATGGTACATGGTCTGGCAGCCCTCCAGAGTGTGCAGGTAAATAAGGAGTTGATGATTTGATATGGGTAAACTTTTCTGGATAAAGATAAAGTGTTATCATTGATCTTTTAATTGAGATCTCAAAATTCAACATAATGTGTTTAACAGATCATGTACTTTAATAGTCTTTTTCAATTCTCTTTTACACAGTAATCAACTGTGGGGATCCTGGCACTCCAGCAAATGGTATACGATTGGACAATGATTTCCATTACAATCGCACAGTGTCCTTCCAGTGTTTGCCTGGATTCATGATGGAGTCAGATCGAGCGCCAACTCTGTACTGTACTAAAGACCGCACCTGGAATGGCACAAAACCTCTCTGCAAAGGTTAGGGAAGTGCTATTGCCTCATGTTGGGCCATCGGTTTGCCTACAATAAGATCACAATAGTTTACATGGTAGTTAAAAATGCTTAAAGACACCAGATTGCAAATGTTCAATGCTTACAGTTTTAACAGAATCAGAAGATAATTGTGCTATGGATGAGACAATCTGAATCTGATAATCTGAAACTTATCTCAATGTTGCTCTATTGTAAAAAAAAAAACTCAGCCAAGCTCAAGATTTTGCTTTAAACCTTTTATCCACTTAAAGGAAAATATGTGTATTTTCCGTGAGCACATATTTTATGTTATTATTGCATAGTTACATAGTTAGTCTGGTTGAAAAAAGAAGTGGTTACCTCTAAGTGACACTAAACAATGTCCTTATTCTCAAAAAGTAAAATTGACTACGTAAAGTAGAGTTCCAAATGTATTTTTACTTTAGGTCAAGCTGGCCAAAAAATAATTTTCATAACTAAGTGATGTGGCTGCTGGGTGAACTGTAATTTACTGTCATAGCTGTTTGTTCCACAGCCGATTAAGGTGACATCCTATTTGCTTCTGAAACTACAACATAAATAGAGTTGGTCTGAATGCTTCTCAGCCATTTAGGAGAAGCCTTGAATTTTTATCAATAAATGAAAGGTTTTCTTTGATTAGCTGAGGTGGAAATTGGGACTTCATCCACCCACTGCTAGACCTCGACTAACCATTAATAAAGATTACAAGGCTTCACCTGAATGGTGGAAAACATTCTGGCCAACTCTATTTAGTTCCAGCAGCTGTAGGGAAGTATTATCAAATTTATATGAATTTGGATTTAAATCAAACTGAACTCTTTTACATGTTGATAAAAAAAGTATTACCTTTTTACCGCCTGCGAAACAATTATGTGCGGCCGCAAAGAGGGTGGGTTTAACACCCACCCGCTGCACATATGCATCCATGGTTGACTGTGTGCTCCCAGTGACAGAGATGTCCCAGACTGCTCTCAATCTCTTGTTATGATTGAGAGCCGGCAGGGCAAGCTCCCAATCATGTGACCACTTTGACAGCCAATGTAAGTCACAAAATAAAGCATGCATGGGTATTTTTGACAGCTTAGTCCTTTGGATAAAGAATATTGATATTCACCACTAAGATGCAAATGTATGTGTTTTCCTCTTGACAGCTATCACCTGCCCCTCCCTCCCTCAATCACCAATGGAAAAGCTGTCGGATCAGACTTTCTTTGGGGCTCCAGCCTATCCTATGCCTGCTTAGAAGGTTACCAGCTCTCTTTACCAGCTGTTCTTACCTGTGAGAGTAACAGAACATGGGTAGGAGAGGTTCCACAATGCTTCCGTAAGTGTGCAAATTTGATGTTTATTGGCTTACATTGTACATTGTAGAGAGTAAGCAATTGTTACCTAATTAAGTTTTTTTTTCTGTTTTGCAGCTGTGTTCTGTGGTGATCCAGGAATTCCTCCTCATGTACGCAGGGTTGATAGAGGCTTCAGCTACCGTTCCTCCATATCTTTCTCCTGTCCTCCTCCTTTGGTCTTGGTGGGGTCATCACGAAGATTTTGCCAGTCAGATGGAACTTGGAGTGGAACACAACCCAGTTGCATTGGTGAGCATCATGTGATATACTGAATAGGATTAAAGAGAACCAGTCACAACTAGATTTATGGAAGACTCTGACATTTATATTTTTGTGTAGCTTTATTTAATTACTCTAAGTTTGCCAACTGTCTTATCTAACACAATTTCTCACAGCACCTGAAAAACAAATGTCACAAAGTTAAGTGTAGGGCTCTGTGTGGGAGGTTGGGCAGATGATAAAACAACAATTGTTGCCATTTAAATTGCCTCTCACTCATGACTCCCAAGATGAAAAATAAAACGCAAAGTAGGACCTTGTGGTCTTTTTTCATTTCTCTGTAGAATTCCAGAATTGCATCAGGGAGGACAATTCCACAGCATCTCTTGAGCCATGGCAGAGTGCCTACTACCTCCCCGCTTCCCTCCTTATCCTTCCTCATCTCCTCCCCCTCTTTCCCACTCTCCCCCTCCCCCTGAAGTTCTCTTATCCAATTTGAGATGTAAACCATAGTAGTTTTGACTATGAACCCTCTGCCAATTAGCGAAACAGTCAGTTGACTAGTCGTACCTGATACTTTGACTCTAGACTCTATGGCTAACAGCATGTCTAGCACATGGGATATGTATCACCAAAGTAACATGTTTATTCATTTCACAGATCCTTCACACACAACATGTTCTGACCCAGGAATCCCAACATTTGGAATGCAGAACAGCTCCCTGGGTTTTCAGGTAGAATACAATCACTTTAGTTATTACAGTTTCTGCCGTTACCAAAAAAGCATACAAATGCAAGTGTTCTGTAAATGTTTAAAACATTGAACTAATGTAAATATATGTTGCAAAAAAAAAAAATTAAATAAAATAAACGAGATGTTTTTGGGACTCTACAAATATTATTTTAAATTTGCACTAGCAATCAACTTAATACAGTAATGGATTTACAAAACATTAGCTCCTTTTTCCTCTTTAAGGATTAACTGGATGTTTAAGTCCATAGAGGGTCACAAGAATTCAGACATAGTTGAGTTATACTGCTGCCTACAGGAGGGTGGAACACTGGCAGGTAGACAAACTGTAAGCCTTCTCCATCCTGGCTTGCAGCATCACAGTGATTTTCCATGCTCTCTCTTTGGTCGTGTTGGCAGATTCCACTATCTAGTAGGGGTCTACCCTCATATTCAGGCATTGGTCCTTCAGGCAGCTCTTGGGCTGCAGGCAGTTCCCAGTCTTCTTAGTGAGGCCTGATAGTAGTTGTTGCAGTGTTGCTCACCTCTTATTTGGACTGCTTTTGGACATCTTGACTGTTTCTGAATTCCTGTGCCCCTCAATGGATGAGAAAGAAAATGGGATTTTTGTTCTTGCTGTAGTATCAATTTTTTGGAGTTCATTAAGGACACATGACCTACTCCTCTGTGTTTTTGATCATTTCTTTAGTACTGCTTTGCCACAAAATTAAGTCATACTGGGTAGAGGAGAAATTTTGCTGGGGGCTGGCTTTCAATGTTTCTGTTTGCCAATGCTCCTATCCAATCCTCCTATTGGCTGCAGTAATCTGGTTGTATGCATTTAGTAGACTTCAAGAAATGGAATTTAGGATAAGTAAAAAAATCCCATTCTTCTATGTTTTAGTTTTAATACTTATTATACTATTTAGTAATAAATGAACACTCAGGAAACCAATGTTCTATTTGTCAAGATACCAAGAGGTTCAATTGAATTATAAAGAATCAGAAGTAAGGAGACCCTGTGGTAGGAAAGAGGGTCAAGATGTCGCTGTGGAGATTTTACCTTTGGCCTGAAGAGAAACAAGTAGCCTCTGTGTGGTTATACCCCCCCAGTATACACCTAAAAGTGACATGTTAGATCGATGTTGAGTGGACTGAAAACTTTGTGGAACTAAACACACCTCTTTTCTCATGCTCAACAGTAGCGACAACCTCACCTTGTCTTTTTCTGGGTTTGCGATCCTCTGCCATTTTGATTGGCTAAATTGGAATGAAGTAACTCCTGCTTGCACAGGAGCTCATTCATTCCAGCACCGAGGTATATCGATAATGTACACTGAGCTGTGCATGCAAGTTTACCATTTAGCGTTTAACCTGCATACAACATGTCAGCTGGCCAAAGTGTCAAGCATTTTGGAAAAGCAAAACACAAACAAACTGTAATTGTATTTGTTTCTTGTTAATTGAGGGACACAATTGGACATACGGCTGCCTACAGGAGGATTAGACAGTGACAAAAAAACTGTTGGCTAGCCCAGGATAACCCTTTATACTGCGAGTGTGCCTAAGTATTTTGCCCGATCCTGGCTGTGACCTTATTTTGCCAAACTGTAGCAGATTGGTCAAAGTTCCTTAAAAGATATTGTCACTGCTACAGTTGATCCTTTGGTCATAGAACGTTTGAAGTAAATTGTTATAAGTTACATATATGAAGGGCAGGTGAAGGTTTCCTGTCTCATTCCCCACATGAGTCTCCTGTCTGAAGATAGAAGCTGAAGATAGAAGCTGATTGGTTGCCATGCACAGCTTCTTCAGTTTCTGTCTGCTCCACCTTTGATAAACTGCCCTCACTCTTTTAGGCTGTCCATACACAGTACAATCTTATTGTACAATCTCTGCACAATCTCCTTTAGATTTACCAAAACTATATAATATATATATATATATATATATATATATATATAATCAAACCTAAACAGTACATTCAATATATACCACATTAAGCACACTCTTGTACTACATAATTCACGGTAGATCTAAAGAATTCTGAATACTACACTAAAGATTCTGAATACCACACTCTAAGTACATTACTCCTGAAGTTCCTTTGTAAGGTAGACTGTGTGTAGAAAAGGATATGCAATGGAAGAGTTTAATTTAATTAACCATTTTCCCACTGCCCTATAGTAGAACTACTGCTACAGGCAGGGCTGCACAAAATTATGTGTATATGCGTGATTTGCATTGTGCATTTCCAGGTAGGGGCGCACGTGAGATGCCCTATCCGCACCGTCATTGGTGCCTAGGAATGTCAGTCACCGGGTCCCGGCTGGAGATTCCCCATCGGCACCCGGCGATCGTCAGGCAAAACTGACAGGGGAGAGGATTATGTGTAAACAGCACAGGTCTTTCTCCTGGCAGCAAGGACATGCTGCTGTGTATTTTTCTGCACAGCAGAGAAATACACAGCAGCATGTCTCCCTGATAAAACACACACAGCACATCATGTAAAACAGCACACTGTTAACCCTTTGATCACCCCAAATGTTAACCCATTCCTGCCCAGTGTCATTAGCACAGAGGCAGTGTTTTTTTATTAGCACTGATCACTGAGTGTCATTGGGATGTCAGTGGCAGTTAGTTCCCACCCAGTGTCAGAATGTCCACAGCAGTCCCGCTAAGTCGCTGATCGCCGACATTGATAGTATAAAAAAATTTAAATTAATTTTTTTTTCCATTTGTTGACGCTATAACTTTCACGTAAACTAATTAATTTACATGTATTGGGAGTTTTGTTTAGCAAAGACATGTAGCAGAACATATTTTGACCTAAATGTATGAAGAAATTAGATTTTTTTAATTTTTTTACTGGATGTTTTATATCAAAATGTAAAAAAAAATTATTTTTTTTTTCAAAATTGTCAGTCATTTTAGTTTATAGCTCAAAAAAATAAAAAATACACAAGTGATCAAATACCAGCAAAAGAAAGCTGTATTTGTGGGGAAAAAAGGACATAAATTTAATTTATGTAAAGCGTTGCATGACCGCACAATTGTCAGTCAAAATAATGCAACGCCATATCGCAAAAAATTGCCTGGTCAGGAAGGGGGGTAAATCCTCTGGAGTGTGGTGAGGTTTGTACCTCTGTTACACTCTTGCTTGTGGCACAGTCATTAACCACCTGCTGAATACCCGCCCTCATTTTACTGTGGGTGGGTGGCTTGTACAAGCTCAGTCACTTACCTGTGTGTCGGCAGTGTCTTCCAGGTTCACAGCTCCAGGAAGAAGGAACAAACAGAAGGAAAAATGCAGCACATATTACACACATTAACACTGGTTAGGCACACAATTAACTCCTTGATTACCCCGAGATGTTAATTCCTTCCCAGCCAGTGTCATTACTACTGTGCAGGGGCGGACTGACCATTTAGGCACTGGGGCACTGCTCAAGGGCCCGGGGTCAGTAGGGGGCCCCATAAGATGCCCCTGGTACCTTTCATATGCTTTTTTTGGTGTGGTTTGAGTGTAGGCGAAGACACAGGGGACCCATGATTTCCTATTGCCCGGGGGCCCCATGAGTTGTCAGACCGCCTCTGCTACTGTGACAGTGTACAGTATTATCAATGATCACTGTATTAGTCTCACTGGTGATGTCAGTCAGTTAGTATACCCCCCAGACATTATCAGTTAATATCAGATCGCCTGCCGCACTATCACAGCCCCACTAGAAGTCACTGATCACTGCCATTACTAGTATATAAAAAAAATATATCCAGTATATATACCATAGTTTGTAGACGCTATAACTTTCACGCAAAGCAATCTTACTTGTATATTTTTACCAAGACATGCAGCAGAATATGTTTTGTCCCAAATTTATGAATATTATTATTATTATACAGTATTTATATAGCGCCAAAGGGTATGCTCAGCGCTGTACAGTAGCAGGGGGGACAGAACATGAGACAAGACAGTAACAATACAATACACGAGGGGTTCAAGGGCCCTGCTCTTTCGAGCTTACAATCTAGGAGGGAGAGGAAGGTGAATACATTCATTATTTTTTTATTCATTATGTTTTATAGTAGAAAGTAAAAAACATTTCGTTTTTTTTTTTAATTTTTGGTCTTTTTTCATTTATATAATACAAATGTAAAAAAAACAGTGGTGATAAAATACCAGCAAAAGAAAGCTCTATCTGTGTGAAAAACTTGTATATATTTAATTTGTTTACAGCATTGCATGACCGCGTGACTCCTTGGGGACCATACACCTTGATCTATGCCTTTGCTGAAAGCTATTCCTTGTCTGTTTTACAGGAGGATCCTCATTGCCACTGGTATAGGCAAATGAGGTAAACCAAATTGGGTAAGGAGTGTGGTGGATGCTCCATAGGCACTATCAGCTAGTCCAAATCTTTTGTCTCAAGGACTGATTTACTCGCTGGCTTTAATGGCATGGCTGTTGAAGCCCAAGATCTGAGAGACAGAGGTGTCTCTGAAATTATGATTCCATGTTAAAAGCAAGGAAACTTAATTCCTGCAAGGTCTATAATCGGACATAAAAATGCACATTTCACTTACTATGAATATCCATCCTAGGAGTTTCCATGGGACAGATTCTGTCCTTTCTAAGCTGTTCTGCACCAGCGTTTGACTCTCACCACTGTTAAAGTTCAGGATTCTGCCCTTTATATCTTGTTTTGGAGAACATTGTCCTCTCTCTTGATTAAGACAGTTGTACATGGACTATTCCATGTATCTCCCCTTTTTTGTTCCCCTGTGACTGTGGGATCTGAACTTGGTTCTCTATGACCTTCACAAACTGTTGTCTAAACCAATCAGAGGCATTCCTTTTTAAAATAAAAATTTTTAAAAAAGAGACCTCAGGAAGGTATTTGGAATTTAATTTGCCAGCATACAATACTTGATTTATAAAAACTCATAAATGTGTTATATGTGTAATAAAAACACATTTTAAAACATTCAGGCTGGCACAACACACATAACAAAAAAATGATTGCATCTCTTCTATCTTTATCCCTCCTGCATAATATTATTCACTTCAAATTTGTACAAGAATGTACAAAGATTATTCTTGATATGTTTGGTGTTTTTTGTCAGACACCTTCTTGGAAGATTGAAAAGGTATGTATCTATGAGCAAGTACATAGAATTACAATGGTATGCAACACATTAAGATCATCGATGTTACAGATAAATGTGTCTTGTGGCTTTTCTTTGGTGTTATACTGTAAACTGTAAGTGAGGCACATATATCTGTACTATTAATGCTCTAAATGTGTTGTGTACAATTATAGATTTCTTGATCATAGATGAACATAAGTAACATTGGTTATGATGACAGGAACCTACTAGAACATTTCACTGAGTTGAGTGGCTTCCATGGTTTAGTGCACAGTACTACAAGTTGCACCATGGGTTGAAATGTACATGTATATATGTATACACTGTATGTACTGTCAAATACAGTCTGGACTATAGTTTGTAAACCTGTCTATGTTATCTGGAAAACAGGTTGGAAGCACAGTACTCTTCAAATGTCAGAAAGGCTACCTGTTGCAGGGTTCTACCACACGGACTTGCTTACCAAACTTGACTTGGAGTGGTATACAACCAGAGTGCATCTGTAAGTACATCTTGTACTATATCAAATGTAATGATGGATTTATTTAAGTCATCATGCTTTGAATTGACAAGACACAACAAACCTTGGGGTGTGAGTACAGGAGGTTGGACATGAAAGTTGTTCCTGCATTATTGCTTAGTGTTTGCAGAAAATGAACACCAAAGACCTAATCTGGATTACTCATTGGCTTTTTTGGCTATTTTTTTTCATTTGATATTCAGGAGCACTGAATTATTTAACAGTTGGAACCATATGCTAGCTAGAATTTCATATATTTGCTAAACTTGTGACACAAAAAAAAAACCCACCTATATTAACATGTTTGCTGTTGAAATCTATCCTATCACAACATAAATGTGAGGCAAAGGTGGAAACATTTATAGCAAGTGAGGGCAATGCCAATTTGCACATATGCTACATTATGATTTCAATTTTTATGCAGGTTATTTTCCAATCATATAATGATACTTGAGTTCAGCTTGAATCTCTGTTAAGTTTAATATTGCAATGAATGAAACATTGATATTTAGTGAAGGATAATCATGTCCAAGTGAGCTGTGGTGGTATACTTTTATTCTATTGGGAAAAAAACAATAATTCATGTCCTTAAGAAAAGAACCAGATGGGTCATTTAAGTACATAAAGTACAGCTCAAAAACAAGCAGAGCAGTGCTTTCTTTTTCTTCTGGCATGTTTGAGCTCTGCAACATTAAACTAGCATGGGATCAGAAAAGAATGCTAAATCTCAGCAATAAAAAGGCACACTTTTATTGGGTAACTATAGTATTTTACACGTGTGCGTCATAGTGATGCATGAAATGGACTACGGCGTTTTGGGGCACATTTTAAATGTCACTCTGACCCACTTTCCAAGTGCACCTCAATGCATGTGTATTTCAGCTTATCACAGCACATGCAGTAGATGTAAACAAAAAGGAAAAAAATGTACAGCAACAGTATGACTGCAGTCCTAATGGTGACCTCCAGAATTAGCAAATATTGTCTAAAGTGACATTTGTATTCTTACCTAAATCTTGGTGAGCTTTGTGTATTTCTTCCGCACCTGTACAGTAATCCAGTGTAAAGCTTTGTCTCTGTGCAGGAGCTTTGTCTAATAAAGACCAGGCACTGCTGCTCTGTCATCTTGTGCAGGGGACTGGTCTTGTCTCCACCCCTTTCTGTAATAGGTGGATCACCTAGGTCCCTCCCACAGCTCTTCTCTCTGCACAGGCTATGTACATCCTCTTCATTTACCCCGCATGCATCAAATTATAGGGACGTTCCATTATATGAACCTGTACTGTATTACAATTACTGAACAATCTCACTGTAAGCCCTGGTTCACACTGAATGCAACAGCTGAATGCAAAAGCTGCAGATTAGTACGATTTGTACCTCTGATTTCACTGTGACTTGAAACTTCATTTAACAGAAGTCAACACAAGTCACAATGAAATTGGAAAAGAAGTAGTGCAGGAATTATTTTTTAAATTGGCTACTTAAAATAGCAATGATTAAGACAGTGCCATAGAAATACATAAGTTGTGATTTCAGGTGCGATTTGTAAATCGCATGTCGCACTTGAAGTTGCACCTGTGTGAAACAAGGCTAAAAGTTTTCCTTTTCTCTTCATATTGAAACATTTTTTTGCTCATACCGGCATTTTGAGCAATGGTAACATGAATACATATCTACAGCTGCCTGTCTATAGGCATGTAGGAGAGAAAAATATTAGTCCATTAGTCCTCTATGAAGAGGTGTATCTGCTATAGACCATTTGGGCCTTTAAACTAGATGCTGCTCTGGCCCTCAAGGCAGGGACTGCATCAAAAGTATTTCTTAAAGTGATTCTAAAGGTGAATTTTTTTTTTATTTGTAAAATAAAAATCATGTCTATACTTACCTGCTGTGTGCAGTGGTTTTGCACAGAGCAGCCAATGGCTCCCGTTTGCTGTCTTAGGAGGCAGAGACCCGGGACAGCCGAAGCTGTCATGCACATCGCTGGATCTCGATGGGGTTTAGGTAAGTATTGAGGGGTCTGGGGGCACTGCTGCACACAGAAGGATTTTTGCCTTCATGCATAGAATGCATGAAAGTAAAAAACCTTCAGCCTTTACAACCACTTTAAGGTTTTATCTAATGTTAGAAGGTGCCAGTGTTTCCTTAATAGGACCTCTATTTTCCCAGTGCACTTAAAATGAGTCACTAATTTAATATAAGTGTGTTTTTCCATCTTTTTTGGTGATCCTAGTAATACTTTCCTTGTCATATAATGGACCCCATTAAATCCTGCTTTGATCACCTTGTGACCATGCCCCCTCTCTTTGAACCTTTCCTTAGGGTCTTGTGCTTCCTTCTTAAAAGTCTGTACATCTAAGCAGTTTCTGTGTATTTGCAGAAACTGCCCAACTGGAATTTCCTATATAGTGGCTGTTAGATGATGGCTGGTTGCATGGAGAAGCATCTTAGCCACTGTTGGTTTGCAGAATGTTGAGGTTGAGATTTCTTTTTTTCTTTCATTATAATAAAATCCAAAATTGTATTTCTTCCAACATAAGTTGTATGTCAATAATATATTATAATTAATTTAATTTTTCAAATCTTTGAAATACCAATTAACTTTCTGTCCATGCAACCAGCTCATCATCAATGTACTTTTTTGATAGACCCATACAAGCTCCAAACTTAAGTATAGCCCCCACTATTTAGCTCCCAAAAGCCAAGATGGAAGCATGCATAGTATTGCCTGTAGAAGTATCCATCAAGTGGAAAAAAGTTATTCTCCAAAACACATTTAAGCAAATGCTATCTTCCTCAGCATATAGATGTGATTGTGTGACTTTACAACCACCCATATCACTTCTACTACATAGTCAGCAGCCAGGGGTAGAAAGGAAAACAAACTCAATTACTATGCTGGCACTGGCCCCAACTTAATATATAAAAATATAGGAAAAAGGACTCTTTGCTTGAATAGATCAAAATAACTTCACAGCATACATTGCATATTTGTGAAAATAGCCTTGGATAAAGAACTTTATCTCTTATATGAACACATTTGGGCTGTTTTGCATTTGGTCTATGTCTTTAGATGCTTGGTCTATATAATAAATGGTTAATTGCTTGATTTTTCATATAGGCATATTGAGAGTAATCTTTGTGTTTTAGTTGCTTTTGATGTATAATGGTTTGGCTCTTGACATGATCACAGAGAATATAAAAAGAACATAAACATAAATACATTTTAGTACCTTACTATCAAAAAACAGTACTACATGTGTAGCTCTTTTTTTTCTTTTGCGTTTGATATGATTGGAAATGCAGACATGCCCTATCATTTCAGGGGAAGTGTGGATTTTAAGGATTGGTCTATTTTGAAGCTGAACTTCAGGCAATTATTATGAAACACTGACATATACAGTTATGGGTTTATTAAAGAAAATCAATAAATGTAATTTACATACTCCTAGAAATGATACCTGAATTTAGTTTGATTTCAGCTTCTTGTAATTCCTTGTGCAGCAGCACTCAGACTGGGAGAGAAACGGGCTGCCTATGGGGCCAATCAAGTGTCCTAGATTCACAAATGCTGACCGGAGGAGAAAGCAGTGAGTTGATATCATTAGTCTGTCACTGCTCCTTCCTTGTTCCTGTTGCTGCAGCAAAGTAAATTTTATTGTTTCTCACCAGGCTGGATGTGCTATGTGGCAGATCTGTCTAAATCTCATGACTGGATGAATATAACCACAAATACCTATAAACAGTTCCCATATGTGAGTTTCAACTATTGATAGGCCGAACAACCCCTGTTCAGTTCGAGGTCGAACATTCAACCTACAGAATGTTTGACCGCGAACTTCGAACATGAACAATTTACTGAACGCTATCTTACCACATCTGAGTAAGCAGTAAGATACCGCTCAGTTACTAAAATACCGCATGAGTTATATTATTAAGTCATGCAGTATCTTAGTAGTGAAAATTTAATTCATGTTTCAGTTGTCAGTGGGGTTCCCCGCTGACAGCTGAATGTTAGAAGAATTGTCAGCATTGCCCGACAAGCATGTAACCCACGCAGGTCAGGAAAGGGGGGATGAGCGAGCCCTCCCCCCCCTCCTGAACCATACCAGGCCACATGCCCTCAACATAGGGGGAGCTTTAGGGCAGGGGGCTCCCCCCCAAAGCACCTTTTCCCCATGTTGATGGGGACGAGGGCCTCTTCCCCACAACCCTGGGCTGTGGTTGTGGGAGTCTGCAACAACCACAGGGATCTGCCCAGATCTCGCCCCCCCTCCCATGTGAATCAATATGGGGTACATGGTACCACTACCCATTCACAAAAAAAAGCGTAGTGTAAAAAAAGACAGGAGACAGCCTTTGACAGGTCCTTTATTAAAAATAAAATAAAAAAATGTCCCTTGAAGTAGATCCAATGTTAATCACGATGCCTGCTGCCGCTACCTGAAAAAAATTTAAAAAATCCAGCTCCGCTGATGGTGCTGGCTCCCGCCGTCTGACAGCTGCACTTGTGATGACAGTTCTGAAATACTGTGATGACTTCACCCCACCCCCTTGTGATGTCATCCTGTGCTGTGATTGGCCAAAGCATTGCACCTGACCTGTGGTCAGGTGCACTGCTTTGACCAATCACAATGCCTTGTCAGGGCTCAGTGCATTGTGGGGCACAGCGAGCGAATAGCCCGCTGAACGCCTGTATCGTTTGTGTGTTCAGCGAGCACACAAACGGTCAATGTTTGAGTTGAACCTGGTTCAACTCGAACATTCAACCCAACACTAATTTCAACTATGTAGTAAGCTGTTCAGCTTCAAAATACATATGCCTAAACAAGTTTTTACAGCGATAATGTATTATCAACAATAATGTGAATTTTAGTGTTAATTTTATAGGTTTTTACAAATACATATTTTCCTTCTCTGTATAGCTCATAACTGCCGGCAGCCTGAAACTCCCCCTCATGCTAATGTTGGAGCACTGGATCTGCCATCTTTAGGTTATACTTTGATCTATACTTGTCAGTCTGGTTATTACCTGACTGGAGGCTCTGAACATAGAACCTGTAGAGTGGATGGAAGCTGGACTGGGAAGCCACCAGTATGCTCAGGTATGGGAAGCAAGTGCTTTATTATGCCACCAAATCTTGATCGGGAAAATACCAGGACACTGCAAAATTAAACTGAACAATGATGCCTGTGTTTTTCTGAACACATGATTTCAAGGACAAGTTCACCTTATAGGAACATGTTACACCCATATTTAGGGTATAACATGGTCAGCATCAGACCCCTCTCCCCCTGATCCCCCCCATCTTTGTGGCAGTGAGCCAGGGATCTTCTCCCGTACTTGCTGCCTCAATTCAAAGAGAATGCCATGATTCAATGAACTACAAACCGACATCCTTTGCAGCTATCGGCTTGTAATTCTCAATGAACTACCACGGCACTGTTAGGCACTGTGGCAGTTCATTGACTCTTCCTATCAGTGTAAAACTGCATGAACATATGATATACAGGCAGACAGTTTACACTGACAGTCTGCAGGAGACCTGAATGGCACCAGCCAGTCTTATGATTGATGGTACAATTCTTTCCAGGCTACTAAAACAAAAAATAGTAAATGCACATTTTGTTATCTGCAAAAAATGCGCATGTATTATTTTTTGTTAAAAGGTGAACTCATCCTTTAAGAATACAAAAAAAAAATGTTTGTTTTTATCATATCATCATCTGATGGTGGTAAAAAAAAAGATAAACTTCCCCATCTGGATCATTATGTATGAAAGCTCTTTGGTTTGTTCGCTTTTTTTGTAAACAAACTCATCAAAGTACAATGGAATATATTTGCAAGATTTTTTCAAAATAATTTCTATTAAATAATTATATTACACTGTATTCTTTTTATTGGCAAGCATTTTTGGTTTTTTGCCATCTGTGTCCCACTGGAGAGATTTCCCTTCACTTCCTGTCCCATGGCCAAATCAGGCAGTGAGAGGAACCCCCTCCAAAGTGAGGTAAAACGGGGGGGGGGGGGGGGGTTACCACAGCTAGTGTCCCAACTGCAAGATTTTCCCTTTTACTGTTTTTGTGTCAATCCAAAATTTGGGATTCTCTTTAACTTTCACTTTCTATGACAAAACTAAACAGGACAAATAGAGAGGGTGAATCTCCCTAATGGTGGCACAGGCAGCAATAAAAACTGTGAAGTGTTATAAACCTTCTTTACTCTATCTAAATCTAAAAAAAAACAAAACATTTTTGCCTTTAGTTACACTTTTTAAGGCCCATGCCCATAAAAAGGTAATAGATCTGTTGGGAAAATTTGATCTATTTGAAAATATGTACTCAATATTGTTTGTAATGTAAATGGGCAGTTTAACTGCATCTTCTTATCTCTATTTTTTTATATAGCTGATGTTAGGCCCAGTGGAAAACCCATTTCCCCAGCTAAAGAACCTCCCATTCAAAAAATATCTGGTAAGCACATTATTATCCTATTGGATACAAAATATTATTGTCTCATATTAATTTCCTGCCACTATCCAGAACATTAGTCTTTAGCAGCTTTGTATACTCTGTGCAATGATATTTCTTGCCAACCAACTAGCCACCATTTTGGTCAATAGGAAAACAAGAATATTCACATGGAACTCTCCAATGTATAATTGCATAGCCCCTCTCACCCCTTTCATGTTTTTATTTATTATTTCATTGTTTTTTTTTTTCTATGAAAATAATTGAGGCTTAAGGGGGATAGTTTGTTTGGCATAAGAATAGGTTCATGTATGTTGACAGGAGCTTCCACAACCCTCACTAGGAATTTAAAGTTCAGACTGCCAAAACACCTTCCATTTGCCTCCCCCTTTGACTCCAAATGTGGGCAAATGAAAATTCAATTTGGCTCATCCCTTTTGGTAAATAGCTTTTCAGAAATAATTGTGATGAGGGTGTTTTTAAAGCTGTTACGCTGTTCTTTTCTGATGTTTTAGGAAACAAAAATAGATTATGGAAATAGGCTATCATCATCACTTTTCATTTATAATAGCTGCAGCTGCTGCTGATGTGTTTTAATAGCGTATTACCTTTGCAGTTCCGGCAGATGTCTTTGCTAAAGATTCTCTATGGAAAGGATCTTATGAATACCAAGGAAGGAAACAACCTGCAATGCTCACTGTCACCAGTTTTGATGCTGTGAGCAGTAAAGTTAATGCCACCATGATTGATCACAGTGGGGTGGAGCTACAAGTGTCAGGTGAGTCTGTAATTCTTATAGCAAAATAAACTATCTAGCTATAACACAAATATAACAAGTACAAATAACACAATGCTGCTCAGAGTAGCCAGTGACTAATTCTGTATGTATGCATGGAAACTACTGTAGATATACCATTTATGGACCATCCTAAACATTTAACATAAATAATCCAGCCAGACACTGATAGCTCATACATTCTTATGAAATAATCAAAATTTCTCACTTAGTGGCTCACAGATAGCCAAGTTGTTTTTTTTTTTGTAATGTTCATGATCGGTCTTCTTTCAAATTATATATCGTATACCTAAGCCGGGTGTCGGCAACCCGCGGCTCCAGAGCCGCATGCGGCTCTTTTTTCACCTTGGCTGCGGCTCCGGAGCACACTGCCCACCAGGTGACAGGCAATAGGGCAGCAATGGGCAAACTACGGCCCGGCGGACCTTTTAATCCGGCCCGCGGAGAACGTGAGGGGAGCTAGGCTCCTCTCACAGTCCGCCCTGAAGACCGGTGTAGCATGAAAATCTGTCTCCTATGAGGATCTGTCCCCCTCGACGTATCTGCGCATGTGCCGGAGATCGCCGATCGGCTGCTAATGCCTGAAACTGGCACATGCGCAGATACGTTGAGGGGGACAGATCCTCATAGGAGACAGATTTTCATGCTACACCAGAACGGCGCGGGAGCACGGTGAGAGGAACGCGCGGAGCAAAGGTAAGTGAATTGACACAGGGGGGACTTGGGGACTTAATATGGGGGATGAATTAATATGGGGGATGAATTACTATAGGGGGGATGAATTACTATATGGGGGGTGAATTACTATGGGGGATGAATTACTATATGGGGGATGAATTACTATGGGGGATTAATTACTATATGGGGGATGAATTACTATATGGGGGATGAATTACTATGGGGGATGAATTACTATGGGGGATGAATTACTATATGGGGGATGAATTACTATATGGGGGATGAATTACTATGGGGGATGAATTACTATGGGGGATGAATTACTATATGGGGGATGAATTACTATATGGGGGATGAATTACTATGGGGGATGAATTACTATATGGGGGATGTATTTTCAGTTTTAAAAATGTGGCTCTCAAAATAAATTTCAATCGTGGTTTTGGCGACATTTGGCTCAGTTGAAAAAAAAGGTTGCCCACCACTGACCTAAGCTGTCAGCTTGATCTGGCCAAAACCTTTTCTAAACTAAATTTATTTTTGGCTTATGATATTAAATATTTACAGTATATTAACAACTCTTGCATGCACAGAGAGGATATTTATACACTGTCTAGGAATGGCTATTTTTCATAATTGTATAAATGTTCATTGCAGGTATTTTCAAAAAGGAAGAATTTCACCTGCTTCTCCAAGCGTACCAGATCCGTGGGCCCAAAGAAATCGTCATGGAGAAGTTTAAGATGGACAGCTGGGCTTTGGATGGCCATGTGAGTCACTTGTTTATGTTGATCTTAGAGATTGGTACTGTAGGTGTGACACTATCCCAACCGTAAACATTTATGCCTCACCATACATTATTCACCTATCCTATTAATACAGGATACTGAAAAACTGAGTGGCAAACTATAGGGAAGATGAGAACTTCTGTGCTTGTATTAAGTCATTATGCAACTGTTTAAGCTATACTTTGCATGATCTATAATACAGAATACACAAGAAAACTATATGGGCAAATATGTAGCATATGTGTTTACATGAATATATATATAAAGTTTAAATCTGGTAGTCTGATCTAAACATTCATGGTCAGGCTAACAGTGCCAATAGACTTAACGCATGCTTGATCTAACCTTCCTAGGGATGAGAGATAAGGAGTGCATAACAGTCAGTCTTTGCCATGTGATGCTTATCTTTGCAATATGAAGGCTGACCAACTTTTCTCCAAGAATAATGGTCTGATCCAGTGGGAAACCCCAAAACAACAATTTAACATAAATCATCTTATTGGTCCTTATACTGTATGTGGTGGATCCATTTGGTTTTTTTTTCATGCTTCTTTGATTAAGCTGATAGCACTGTTATGGGTTTAAAGAACAGGAATTTACAAAATTGTGAATTTCTATCAGGATCAACAGGTAATTTTTGTACTTGCAGAAAATACACTTAGAAAAGTAATGCAGATACAATATCTAGAGACTGCTAAGGTGCTGTATATTTTAGTTCTTGGGTTTAAATATCCTTTAAGTTCTCTTAGCTTGGAAAAAAAGTAAAATTTACATTAAAATATTGTAATTCACTCCCAGTATTTAAAACTGTCAGTGTATTTAGACATGCAGGTGATTGCCTCATATGGCCATTGACTGTTGAAAGCACAAAAAAAGTGGAGACAGATGATGGAATGCTAAGGACAGTACTCATTGTCATTGTAACGCACTAAAGATATGAATGCTTGGGGTAGACACTGAGCTATCCTGAATATAAATGAAGGCTATGGATCTAATTGTCTCTTAGCTGTACAGAAGATAGGAAAAGGACAAGCGCCTCTTATCAGCTGTCACATGCTATATTTCAGTTCTGTTAATTCTACAGATTTCATGTCTAAAACACGACATGTGCAATCCTATGATAACTGCATTTTAAAACCAGATAACCACCTAGCTTTAACCATTCAAACTAAATCTCTTTTCACATTTCCATTTAATGCATTTCCATTTTGTGATAAAACCGCAATGTGACAGGACAGTGACAGCTATGCAGAGGATCAAAATTTTACTTTTTTTTTTTTGCAAAAATAAGTGCAGAAAATGCAGCAGATATTTTGCTGCAGCAACCCCAACTGCAGTTTGTTAGTGAATGTGTTTTCATTGCAACAGCTGGGGGCACCTGTGTTCACCTTAGATAGTCTAGGACAAATAATATACTACCTGTCAAACATTTTAGAACACCACAATTTTTCCAGTTTTTAAATTTAAACAGTTAAAGTTCAGTGAATAACCTGAAATGGTACAAAGGTAAGCGGTAAACTGCCAGAGGTGAAAGAAAAAGTTTAGGTTAACAAGAACTGAAAATAATGTACATTTCAGAGTTATACAAAAAGGCCTTTTCTGGGAAGAAGTAAACAAAAGGCACTTGAAAACTGGAGGAAATTGACAGGAGGAGTTCTGACAGACCAAAAGGCCATAACAGAATTAGAAGTCAAGTTCCTGAGAGTCAACAACTTGCATGTCAGGCAGCTCACAGCAAAACAGCTTCAAGTACAGCTTAACACTGATCAAAGTAAGTGTCAGTTTTAACTGTGAAGAGGAGACTTCAGGTTGCAGGTTTGACAGGTCAAGTGGCTGTAAGAAAGCCATTGCTAAGATGGCAAAATAAGAAAAAGCGGATTGCCGTGAAGAGCTATCAGTGGACTACAGAAGGCAGGAAGAAGATCTTATGGACCGATGAATCAAAATCTTTGGTTCATCATACAGGGTTTATGTGCACAGTCGAGTAGGTGAAAGGATGGTTCCTCGTTGTCAAACATGGAGGAGGAAGTGTGATGGTCTGGGAGTCTTTGCTGGATCCAGAGTAGGCAACTAACACAGAGTGAATGGCACCCTGAACCAAAACTACTACCACAGGATTTTGCAGCGCCATGCAATACCCTCTGGAATATGCCTAGTTGGTCAGGGGTTCATCTAACAGCAAGATAATGATCCAAAACACACCTCCAGGCTGTGTCAGAATGAGTAAAAAAAATTAGATTACATTTTATTAAAATACATGATTTCATGATTTCTTTTTTTATGTCCAATTGTTTATCTGTTCTGTGCTTTATTTTCAGAGTTCATTGAGACCTTAAACTGAGTAAATTTCAATAAAAATCAGGGTGTTCTAAAACTTTTGATTGGTAGTGTATAGAATTACAAAATGTGCCTATCTCTTTCATTTAAAAGCTGACACCACCAAGAAGGTTTAACTTTGTCCCCACAAAGATCCATGATCTGTCTCTTGTGCCTCCCTATTGGTCACTGAGGTTGCCCCACATGGCAGTATCAAGATGCACACAATGTGGAAAGGGATGAGGCCATGTTAGCATACCGGATGATGTTGTAAATTGATGTTGAGATCACCACAGATTTCTGGGCCTCTGAGATTCTGAACCTGCCTACCAGCACTTAAAAGTGGCTCATTTTCCAACAGAGTTTCTTTTTAACAACATTGACATGGCTCAATTCATAAACAGTGTATTATTAAGGTGAAAAATTGAGTGAATATGTTGTGTTGTGTTATGTTAAACTGAACAATCTTTTTATGTAGATTAGAGTTTTCCAAACAATATTTAATATCTGTTGTAAAAGAATTCAAACACTTCAGACAATAATACATCCAATGGTATCACTGTAATGCTTTGCCTAATGCATCCCTCCTCAAAGCAGGTAATCTTCAACAATGCAAAAAACAGACACAGGAAGGCGCAAACTCCTAGTGCACTACCACCAAAACGGTTATTGGATTCAAAGGTTATATACTTACAAACATAGTAGAAATCAAGTGTATCAGATATAAACTCCAGCCTAGAGGTGATTGTGTTTGACCATGTATAACACAGTTGGAAAGCTAGTGCATTTCAGGGGGCCATTCCCCCTTCCTCAGAGTAATCCAACACAATAAAACACTGTATCTTAAATGCTCACATATCAGAGAGTGACTCCCCTCTCAACAAGTGTGTGGGTGGGCTAGAACTTTCATGGGATAGAAAAAATTCCCCAGATTGCCTGATCTACCCACATAGTTGTCTCTCAAAACATGCCCTACAAGCTAAAGTTTAGTCCTCTATTACAGTATTTTTTGAAACACTGCACAGAGGTGGTATATATATTGCTTAGTTTCCTTGATGCAAAGGAAAATGTTTTTAAAAGGCATTTCTGTGCTTGGCTTTTTTTAACAATGTGTTTCAAGAAAATCTTAATGTACAAACATGGTTTTCATTACTCTTAAGATCTCATGGTTTTCATTACTATAGATCTCATCTGAAACTGCCGGAGGAACGTATATCTACCAAGGATTTGTGCGTGGAAAAGGATTTGGCCAGTTTGGATTCCAGAGGATAGGTAAACCTTGTTGACTTAACTGACTTTCACAATTGCATGTGAGGATAAAAGGATAAATACTACACAAATTAAGTAAGCCTTAGTAAGAAATACACCTGCAGTTAAAGTGGTTGTAAAGGTGAAAGGTTTTGTATCTTTATGCATTCTCTGCATTAGAGTAAAAAAATATTTTATATGCAGCTCCCCCCCCTGCAGCCCCCCTATCCCAAATACTCACCTGAGCCTGATCTTAGTCCAGCACTACACACATCTGCAGCTCCCTCCTCTCCCAGCTCTCACATGCTTGGCTGACAGTGAGAGTCATTGGCTTCTGCTGCTGTCAGTCCAAACCTGTGAGCAGAGAGTGGGGTGCGGGGTAAAGCTGGGCTGTGTGTCATCCTGGCTCGGGAGCAAGCCCACACGAGTACCCACCATAAGTAGTGGTTTTCTATGGTGGACACGTGGCAGAGGGGAGGAGCCAGGAGTGCTGGCAGGGGACCCTAGAAGAGGAAGATTGTGGCTGCTCTGTGCAAAACCATTGCACATTGCAGATAAGTATAACATGTTTGTGATTTTAATGGAAAAAGAAGGTTTACAATCGCTTTAAGATAAGTTAATCCATGTGTTGTTTGCTGCATATCAGGTAAATCTGTTTCTTTCCAAGCATGAATTGTGTGAATCCACATGGCCATTTTAATTTAAAAAAAAGGGTTGCAATCCATCTGTGTTAGATTTACCTGATACATCATAACAAGCTAGCTAGGGGGAATGGGACAACCATTTTATTGAGAAGTTTTCTCTATTTTCCCCTATTCTGTGGTTGCAGAGTGGCAGTTGGATCATACTGAATTCCAGAACCCAACAGAAGGTCAGTCACAGAGTTAGCTTCGGTGAAGAGAGAGCTTCTGTCATGGAGAGGCCATAGGAGGCATAGCCTTCCCGAAATAAATGTATCCCCTCTTCTATACTTTATATAGGTTTTCTTATGATTTCTTCCAAATGAGGGTTCTCAATGCTGCAATGCCCTCTATGTTTAGTGTCTGGAAGCAGTTCTAAAATTCAGTTTAAAGAAGCTATCCTACAGCCATCCCAAGTAGCCACTATACATTAACAGAAAAGGAGGAAAAGTTTACCTGTGCATATTGGTAAAAAAGTTGAACACTCACATACAAAAGAAGAGTCCACTTTCCTCCTTCCTTTTTTTCCTACATGCTCATGTAACCCTACTTGATGCCTAGCCTAAAAACCTGTTATTGACTGAGGCGAAGGTATACTGTTAATACCAATTTGATAGCACCCAGCCATGCCCATGTTTGCCAAGACATGTTACACTCTGCTTCTGTATCCCTCTTTATTTTGCACTCTAAGATTGTCTTCTTGTACAGGTAATTGCAAGGAGTTATATGCTGGTGAAGTGGTCTGCATTGCACTACTTTCCAGCACCTACATGCACACATTTACAGTATATACATATATACATATTTTACAAACTCATATTAGCCCCCCGCCCCCCTCCTATGCTTCTGTATTAGGCCCCATGTTATATATCCAACCTTGGCTTATTTATTTGTGCCATCTTGTGGTAAACCACGTACTGATTTGCTCACCTCAGCCTATTCTTCTGTAAAGTAATCATGTAATAAATACATAAATAACTTTTTAGGTTTATAAAGTGAATCTAATGATGAAGTCATCAAGACTGCAATGAAGATCACCTTTAACAATAGCAAACAATGTATGTGCAGTGTCAGTATTTTACCTAGTTTTTTTGGGTGCTGTCAGCCTATATTAGTCTGCATAAGAATAAAGTGTTATGGGAGCCATTTCTTTTCATGATGGAACAGTTCACAGATACAGCAGCATTTGCTTTGGGGTAGCTTGTAAGCCCTATCACTGTAATAAGTAACTATAACATTTCTAGATAACTCTTCTATCTAGTTTATCATTTAGTAGCAACTCATGAACAATAGAATGCCCTTATTTAAAGCACATTTCCAGGGAAATCTTTGTTGAAGGATCATTTGGCAATTGCATTAGGTAGAAGGTGCTGCACCAACACTTTTACATCTCTGCATGCAATAGTACCATGGGTTATATTAAGGCACAGTATGTACAAGTACCTGCATTTCATTTATGATGAGTGTTTCGATAATATGTACAGGTTTACTTAATGTATACTTGCATAACCTGAAACTCTTTTCCATGCAGTCTTTGTTGACATGTCTCTATGTCTTTTGCTGTTACAGATAGGAGATTACTAGAGACCAATCCTGACACCATTGGACACTTTCCATCCAACAGCAGCTCAGTGGCCGCTGCTATTCTTGTGCCTTTTATAGCTCTCATCATTGCTGGTTTTGTCCTATATCTCTACAAACACAGGTATTATAATTGTGCACCAGGAAAATGCATTATAGGTTACTAGGTCAATATGAGATAATTTAAACATGACACAAACATTGACCATTGAATCCTAGAGTGAATTAGTACTTTGAAATTTTGATGAGTTAGGAATTTCCTTGGATTCAAACATGTTTGGATAAAACATAGATCTTTACTCAGACAAAAAAACATAAAAAAAAATATTTATAGGTAAAAGTGGGGCAGACGCGATCATACACATGATAGTTTTCTGCAGTCACTGTTCTATGTTTCTATGTTTCCTAATACAGTATTCAAATTAAAAAGAAACTGACCACTCTCATCTGACTTTAGATTTAATAGGGAAATATGTGTAAAATAACAGCTAACTCTGGCCTGCAAATACCTACATCAATTTAAAGTACAACTAAAGGTTCATGTATGATAATCTAAACAAACAACAAATCCAGTTACTGTGTCATTATCAAGCCTCATAATGTAAACAAAACTTCCTTTACCTTTCCTAACTGTCTCTCACACACTCACCCTGCTGGACACTGCAGCTCACAGTGGGAGGGTTTCAGCAATAGAGTCAGTGCTGTCAGTCCAGAAAGCTGTGAGCAAGATGAGGTGTGGCCAGGTGCTGATTGACAAGCTGCAGGCTTATGAATCAGCAATGACAATGCTGATAGCCATGACCACTGAAACATTCTTTCATTCCACTGTATTGCAAGCAGGCACAGCCTAAATGAGAGTGGCAACAATTCAGGATTCAGGAGCACTACAGCATTGTTGCCACACCACCATAGGAAGCTGCATTAGGTGAACTTCACTGACAGACTCAACAGGTACTTGTGGAACTTTGCAGGTGGGCTAAGAAAAAAATTAAATGCAGTCACAAATATTTCTATAAAGGAAGTCCATAGTTCTACTTTAAGATTTCTAAATTTAAGAATTAGGATTCTATATTCACGAATGCCTTGTTCTTTTGGGAACCAAGTTTAAATAGAAAATAAACAACATACTATGAGTCTGCTCATGGGTATTTCAATGCATTATGTGCAAATGACAGAAAAGAACCCAAAGTTTCAGTTAAATAGTTCACCTATTGTACATGAAACCGTTGCATTAGTATAAAAGTAAAAGCAAAGAGGTGTTGTGTCAGAAAACAAGATTACAGTTTTATCTACAACACTGTTGAACTTGACTATCTCCAGTCTCTAACTATCTGGAAAAGAATCTGTAGTGTTTAAAGGGCCTGCCATACTACACCTCCCAGTTTTCTACTTGTCCCAATGGACAGGGTTACCAGACACAAAATCAGCATGAGTTTGTTTTTTTACACACCCAAGGGCCCCATATCAGCTTTTTCTCAGTATAGGTTAACCAATGTGGAGTAAAAAGATTTAAAAGCATGTGAACGTATTTATCTGTTATCAGTACAATATACTCAGTTAAAGCCCTTAGTGAAGCTGTTTATGTTGGTTTCAGTGACTAATTTGATGTTTGTCTCAGCAGAAGACCGAAGGTTCCATTTAATGGCTTTGCCGGACATGAGAATACAAATGGCCGGGCCACATTTGAGAACCCAATGTATGAACGGAATGTACAACCCACAGAAATAGTGGCAAATGAGACTGAGTTCACTGTTAGCACAGTGTGCACTGCTGTATAGCACCTGCCCTTCATCAGGTAAGTAAATATAAAGGTGTATAATGGTTATGAAAATCTAGCGACATTTTGATTGGTAGCAATATGTACATACATTAGTATCAACATGGGACATCTGGAAGCTTACATTTGACCTTGCACTCAGAACACACAAGTGCCCAATGAAGCATTAGCTTCTCTGTGTACTGTGCCATTCAGAACTTAATGTGGATTGCAGCATCAGTTGAAAATTAATATTTTTGTCTAAAACATCCTACTGCTAATACAAACTATCCTGTGGCAGATCTTCAATGATCAGACTGTTTTTTTTCAGTCTGTAGGCAACATGTAAAATCAGTCGGTATACAGCCATTGCTATTTGTAAACACTGTGCCATACACAGCCTGCCCACTCAATATACCTTCAGTTTGAGATTTATATAGTTTCTGGCTGACAGTTTTCTCAAGCTGTTTGTGTTGGCTATTTGTGGGTGATTCATGAAAACCAAATAAAAGACAGTTTGAAAAAATTTAAACCATTGTGAGAATTAATTTTTCATAAAAATAAAAAGTTAATAACTTATTTGGATGATATTATTGATCCTGTTGGTGCAATTTCTGTCTATCCAGTTTTTATTAGTCAGCCTGTATGTGTTATGTGCTATTCTACCTGTTTAGAAAACTATACAGAATCAACCCTGGTCTGCATTTTACAGGCTCTCGCAGCAATTACCGTATACAGTAATTTTATATAAGTTTTATAAACAGGTGCCATTTTCCTTTAGGGCTCATGCTGCAAGGGGACCATACAGCACTTTCTATTTCTGTACATCTATTTGCTTTCTATGGGTGGGTGTATACAGCAGCTGTGGTACCTGGGGAAGATTTTACAAAGGCTCTTGCACACTGTGCAGCCCCATTGTGAACATGTGCATGAGCCCTTAAAGAGTATCAAGATTATGATTGACAACCTTTAGCTGCTCTACTTCGGTGTAATTCTCTACAGGCTTGTTTAATCTTTCCTTCGACTGAAGCTTAGGTTAGTGTTACACCAGCAATTTAGAGTATTGCATAAAAATGGCTAAATTCTTTTGCAACAAAATGCTAAATGAGCATGACTGGTTTCAATTTTCTATTAGATGAAAGGGCAAGGTTGTGTTTTGGTGGCTTAATTTATTTTAAAGTAAACAACCAGTCAAGAATAAATCCAGGCAAAACAGTTCTGTTGAAATGGAATAAGCTTACTGTTTTGCCCACCTAAGGATTTGTAAATCCATACAGCCTACTTGTCATTTACACATAATTTACACACTGCACAACCATACAGGTGACAAATGGATACAAACTGTTTTTGCTCAAGTGATAAAAGTATACAATCCTACCTTAAGTGTACTTCCGCACAACTTGGAAGAAAAGGAAAAAATCACACTCACATAAAACTTTATTAAATGTACGTATTATACTTACAAAAGTGCTTGACAAAGTAACATAAAAACCATCCAGATACCTGCCCAATCTAATGGATGTCAGGTGTCCAACTGTTGAATCTGTTCAGCAACAAATCTGAGACTCTGCCTCCAGTGTGAATCCTGACTTAAGATGATTCGAGTCTCGGCTGGTTCAGCAGGAAATGTCTGAGATTCAAACCATGTATGGGCAGGCTGAATGTACCCAATCAATTTGGGTACAACCAGCCTGCTGGATATTACATGCGATTATTGCTAGGAGCTTTTATAGCTGCTAGCAAGAATCACTGTGTTCTCCTGGCGGGGAAGGCTCCTCCCACCAGGAGAACACACTGGCTCCGCAGGAAAGGGAGGGGAGATTCCCCTGTCAACACTGTCTGTGGGGAATCAAGCACATTTCTTCCCTGAAACCCATGGTTGCAGGACAGAAATTTGCTCCATCAATGCTTGCTTTAGTTTAAACACCTCTCTTATATTGTAATGAGATGTATACATGCTAGCTTCCAGAGTCTTTTTTATCACATTACAGAGGCTTGTATGCTATAAACAAATCAATTATATTTAAAAAGGTTTCTATAAAGTAATTATTATAGTCTAATATTGTGTGCCCAACTCTATCAACTATAAACTTATTTCACAAAATGTAGAAAACATTCACTGCTTATAAATTGGAAACATTTGAGGCATGTAAGTTACAGGTGAGGAGAGAATCTCCTTTTTACTCTGCTTAGCTGTCTACTGTCCATTCTAAAATTGTAAAGAAAGCAGTTCTGTGCTCTTAACCTGTCTTATTCAACTGGGTTGCCATCATGGGTTCTGTTTTCCTTCTGCCCTGGTGAAAGAATTAACTTTCAGCCTTTAGGCCCATAGGTCCTTATCCTCCAGGGACACCGTGCAAGTGCTTTTATAATGAACTTGTATACATGCAACGTTGGTCAGAAGTGGATATAAACAATCCTATATATAAATATACATATTTTTATTCAGCAAAGAACAAGTTCCAAAAAGTGCTTTTCTTTCCCTCAACCATAGGTTGAGGGAAAGAAAATCACTTGATTCCCCCATTACCACAGTCAGTGTTGATGGGGGAGTCCCTCCCATTGTGCTATTTTATTCTGACAGCAGGAGGTTTCACTGCCATCAGAATACAATGATCACTGATCCTGGCTATAGCCAGCACCAGTGATCTTACAAAAAAAAAAAAACAACAATAGATCATCTGCAGTACAACCAGCCTGCCACAGATGGATCAAAATTTGGTGGTTCCTTCTTAACTGGTCAAATTTCTCTCTATGGCTGGCTTTAGTCCTCTGCATCAGGATGCCTTGTCCAATGCAGTCCATTTTCTGCCACAGCCCAGCCCCCTCTTCACATGCTCTGTGATGTCACATCTAGAACAGGATGCAAGATGAGAACAGAACAGACACACCAGTGTGTTCTCTTTATTCATTAGCTATCTAAAATGTTTCCAGAGAATTCAAGCTTTAAAATAAATATTATATTCTGCCACATTTCCTCTTGCTTATTTGTTTCTTTTTTCCTGTATAGTGAACTGGGTTTTCTTGGAGTCTTCATCCTGTCTTTCCTCGCCCTGCAAAATCATCAGTGGGCAGCTGTGATCACCAGTGCCACTTGTAGCCACTCCATTTTTGATGACATCCAAACTGTGCTAGGCTGGTGAGTTTAGGAAAAACTAGGAGAAGACCCCGTGTTCAAAGATGAAGCAATGTCGGCAGTGGACTGGCAACCTCCCATGCACCAATCTGCCAGGGCCTCATGCAGCCTTGACAACTGGGTGTCTCAACGCAAGTGGCAGGTCTGCCACCTCAAGAGGTCCTTATCCTCCAGGGACACCCGTGCAAGTGCTTTTATAATGAACTTGTATACATGCAACGTTGGTCAGAAGTGGATATAAACAATCCTATATATAAATATACATATTTTTATTCAGCAAAGAACAAGTTCCAAAAAGTGCTTTTCCTCCATTCTTCTCCGCCTGATCCCTGCAGCACATAACAGACTGTGTGGCGTTGGCGGGAAGGGGGAGCGCAGCCTTACAACCCAAGCCCCAGGTTGGCGTGGGAGTCTTCAACCAGCCAACACTTGAAGGAGAGCTGTCCGGAAATATTGCTCTGAAGCTAACCCCCATCTCATTGGTCTGTGAGCACATACAAAACGTGTACTGACACTCCTTTCTCCAGCTACAGATGAATACATTTGACCAATATAATATTCTGTGTTGCATCATTCAGGAAAAGTTTGGCCACATTACCTCGAAAATTCAGAGTTGAATCGCAGGCTTGAGATTGTCATAAGCAATGCATTGCAGGTTCTTTTTATTTTACATTTTTATATATATGTTAGGAGACATTTTAGAGTGCAAACTTCTAGGATAATTATAGGACCCCTCAATAATAGCAGAATGTTATCACAATATAAAGACTCTATGGCACAAGCCCCAGACTTAGGGGTGGTGGTGGGGGACATAAATGTTTTTGGTCAGCTCAATAGGTTGAGTGGTTTGGCATCTTGAATGTTCTTTTAGCAGCCACTGAGAACATAGGCTTATAAAGTAGTAGGGTATTGTGACAGCCTGTGGTACTTTACCTCTTCCTATGACAATGAATGAAATTACTCATTCCTATGAATGTTTTAACAGGCAGTAAGATCACAATGTATTACTCTTAGATTTATTTTTATATTCTACCAAAAATGACCCAGATCTCACCCTATAGATGCAAATTAAACCAAGTTGGTGTAGCAACTTCCTTACAAAAAATATGTCTATTAATACATTTTATAAAAATTGATTCTAAATAAATAAATAAATAAATAGAATATATAGAGTTTAAGATATACATTTCCACTTTTGCTGTTTTACCTGATTGGTGTTACTATATTATTATTCATGATGAAAGCATCAACTACCTCTTCTGTTACTATGTACTGGATTGTTCATAGACTTTCAATTGTCTCAGTATTTATACTCCATGGCATCTGTTTTGGTTAATTTTGATATGCATTGTTTCCTGTGCAGCAGTATGACAATGGGGTCTGGTAACTGAAAGTGTCTGAAAAACGTACCGCATGTTGCCAACATACGCTCTCAGATCCTACTTTTTATTTTCGAATCTGCCCTAGAAATATAACAGGAAGAAGCTGATTAGTTGGTAAATGCAACACTATTCTTCCACTGCCATTTACAAGATCCTTGGTTTGGCAAAACTGAGCCTTGCCTAACAAACTTTAGGGATCCATACTAAAGCTGATGTGGCCATTCAATTTCACTGTGTGGGGATTAGATCTTTACTTCAAAACCTGGTTACATTTAAAAGCTCCTGGTATTTGGTATCCACATTATAAAGATAGTTTGGGCAGCAGTGGAACTTTCATAATAACCAGATATACTGAGTCATACAACCAAATTTCCATTTTGAGTGTTTTAACCTAACAAGTGTAAGCTACTGTCATACTGGCCTGCATATTGGCAAATTTAGCATATGGTTATCAGTTTGACAATTCAATTATGAATGAAAATGTGTAAAAGAGAGGATTTCTGT